TGAATAGGCTTACTTTTAAAGCGCTATTTAAAGCGCCCTTTTTTCTCCGCGGTCGCTGTTGTCGCCCTGCTGATGACGTCAGTGACGCAGTTTAATCGGGCGCGCTTTAGTGGAGCGTGGTTTTGTTGTGCCATGGGGCGGTGTATTTAGACTTGCAAGACTTTGTTACACTACCTTTATCGTGAACATTAATTGATCTGCCTGACTGATTTCCTAGTCAGGTCTACCTTAAAGGCTGACAGGCTGAAAGTGTGTGGGACACGCCAAACCTGACTTCAAATGTAAAGGTTCCCCTTGCACATATTTGCTAGTAGTTCCTGACTCTAGGGGGTGGTGCTAATCTCTATTTCAAAGCCGAAGAGCCAGCGCTGTCCGAAGACGTCTCCGTGGTCATGTGGCCAGCATGACTCAATGCAAAAGCCGCACGGAGCGCTGTTACCTTCCCACCAAAGGTGGTCCCTATTTTCCTACTTGCATTTTTACGTGCTTTCGAACTGCTAGGTTGGCAGAAGCTGAGATGAGTAATGGGAGCTCACTCCATTACGCGGCGCTAAGGATTCGAACCGTCGACCTTTCTGATCGACAAGCTCAGCGCCTTAGGCACCGAGCCGCCGCATCCCTAAAAACCTGACTTTACCTGCTTGCAAAATGCGAGAAGGTTGGGGGCCAAAGACATCACCCCAAAGTCCAAGTTCATGATAGGTATGAGAAGATCCCCAGATACTTCAAAGCCAGTCATAACATCCTGTCATCCATGTATATTCTATAATGGTCCCCAACCCCATCCGTGGAATGGCATTGGTCTGTGGCATGCCAGAAAAGGACTGCATAAACAAGTGAAGCCCCATCTATGGGAAGATGATTTCCTCCCTCTAACTGAGTGCTGGGCATTCCCACCCCCTTTATAGATTCATTGTGCTTGTGTCTTCAAAGCTGCATTAGGATTGCTTCTGATAAAGTGAGATCTAAACAAATGTTTAAGAGGTGTTGGCTGATTGAGGAGGAAGATGGAAAACCATACTTCCACATCCCTACCCTTGGGTAGCTTTCTTTGATGCCCCATTTTGCCTTGAACTAGCCATAGCAGATTAAATACTTTTCATCTGAAGATGCCTGACATCCAGTAAAAAAGGAGCAAATTGAAGGCCAGGCAGAGATGGATGCGATGATGGGCGAGGGAACTCAAGCAACAATAAGCTACTCCAGCACACCAAGTCAAGATGGATGAGGATATGGAGATCATCTGTCATTTGCCACTCCTCGCAGATGAGCCATAGATGTATGTCTAGAGGGAAAAATGAGTCTTTCAACACTGAGGATGATAAATGAGTTTCAAAAGAACTTCCATAACTTTTCTGAACAAGTTCATGGAAGTCTTTGTCTCGTTTCTACTATACTACAGAAAAGTAAACCCTGCCATAGGGAGGAAGAGGAGAAAAAGGAAGAAGGAGAAGGAGAAGAAGAAGAGAAGGGAAGGGAAGAAGGAAGGAAGAAGGAGAACAAGAGAAGGGAAGGGAAAGGAAGAAGAAAGGAAGGAGAAGGAGGAGAAGAATAAGAATAAGAATAAGAAGAAGAAGAAGAAGAAGAAGAAGAAGAGAAGGAAAGGGAAGGGAAGAAGGAAGAAGGAGAAGAAGAAGGGAAGGGAAGAAGGAAGGAAGAAGGAGAAGGAGAAGAAGAGAAGGGACGGAAGGAAGGAAGGAAGGAAGGAAGGAAGGAAGGAAGGAGGGAGGAGGCTACCATAGTTGAACTTTGAGGTGGATGTTTGGAGTTCAACTACCAAATGAAGCAAAGTTGGATTCCCATATGAAGAAATAGAGATGTGTGGTCTTCTAAAGTGCCCCCACCCCATTAAACCATTAGATCCAAGATCTAATGATCAAATCTACTGTAGCCAGAAGTATGGAATGGAGGGAAACAAGAGATGGCAGATGCTACTTTTGGGTCCTCCAGCCACAATATGGATCTTCCAATATTGTTTGTTCCTTGTGTAATAAGGAAACACACACATTTTGGAAACACACCTACACACACCCATAATTAGACATAGGTTGTCTGGAGAAAAACAATCAGTACCACCGACTAAGTTGCAATTCAGAGAGACTTATTAGTCAAGTGTATATGGGCCGCAGTGGCTCAGAGTGCAGGCTCTGAGTGCAGGCTACTTCTGCTGACTGCCAGCTGACTGCAGTTCAACAGTTCAAATCTCACCAGGTTCAAGGTTGACTCAGCCTTCCATCCTTCCGAAGTGGGTAAAATGAGGACCCAAATTGTTGGGGGGCAATAGGCTGATTCTGTAAACCGCTTAGAGAGGGCTGTAAAAGCACTGCAAAGCGTTGTATAAATCTGAGCGTTAGTTCCATTGCTATACACAAGAATGTAGGCAAGGAACAGCCCTGTGCTAGATACGGGTCAATGGAATTCAAGAGGGGAGGGACTTGAATCTTTTGTGGCAATGGTAAGATAAGATGGTTATCTTTGCTTTTCTGGGAAGGATATTTAACTGCTGTGATACACCTACACCAGTGAAGTTCAGAATGGTTCAGCCAACAATTGTTTCCCCCCTGTTAAATTGTATGGATGTTAAAGCTGCATTGGGAAGAAACAAGACAGGACGAGCAATTGAACTTTGGTGCTCGAGAAGCAAGCAGGAAAACAGGCACATGGGCCACAGAACAAATCCTCTGTAATTCTCACAGGAAAGTTTAATGATCAAGGCAATATAATATTTTGGATGTATCATGCAGAGACACAGTTTCCAGTTAATCATTGTGGGAAAAGTCAATGGAAAACGAGGAAGAGACAAAGAGCAGCAAAGAGATAACCATTAGCAGACCTAAAAGGCCACGTTGAAGACAGATCATTCTGGAGAAATGCCTGGAGAACAATCACCAACACTAATGCAATCAATCCATCAACAGAAGCCAACAAAGGCAGTCAATTAATGTCTTCCGGAAGTGATCAAGGCTAAGCCCTTCTATAGAATCACACCCCGGTTACAACAATTGTGATATCTGGAGTCTACACTATTCTAACAAACCCTCCTTATACCTTATGCGTCATTTCACAACTCTACCTGTTGTGGGATCCGTTGAAGGGTTCTTGATTCCAACAAAGCTTTATTAAGAAGTGGGAGTGAACTCAGCTAAATGTTGGAGATGCCACCAAACACCTGGATCTTATTATCATAGGTGGTGAACACGTGGCGAGGCAAAGAAGTATTGGACAAAAATTAAGACACAGTTGGAAGAGATAATACAACAACATATTGAGCTGAAGCCAGAAACATTTCTGCTAGGAATTCTACCTGAAATTTATAATAAAGAGAATGCATATTTAATCATTCATGTATTAACCGCAGCTAGAATTGAATTTGCACAACATTGGAAAAGTGTAGAGATCCCTATTGANTGAGCTGAAGCCAGAAACATTTCTGCTAGGAATTCTACCTGAAATTTATAATAAAGAGAATGCATCTTTAATCATTCATGTATTAACCGCAGCTAGAATTGAAT